TTCTGTCATCCTGGGTCACTGTGACAGATGATTCATATATGCATCAGAACACATCAAAAGTCATCCTCATAACTGGATTATTTTGATAGGAGCCTCTCATGCAGCCCTGGAGCCTCAGTGTTCTGAGATCCTGGCTTTAATTCCCTCTTACTGTTCAGTTTTTGTCTTAGTGGAGACAGCTGCCGTTATGTCTGAGCCTGACCCTACCCATTGGAGATGACGGAATGAATCCTTGAGGGAATAGGCACCCTTGAGGGGACAGGCCTGATAGTGAATTTTTCAAGGTTCACTCTCTGGGTCAGAAGTGTGAGCATTTAGAATGTCTGAGGGTGGGTGATGGGCATGGGCACTCAGGGAGTGACTTTCTCATTCCTCCTGTGCATTTCAGAAACATCCAGGTTTGGTATTGTTCAGGCCTTTCCTCCCTGAAGTACTTCTGGGCCCCAGGGTCTACAGGGTCCCGCTCCAGACATGGACTAGGCACATCTGGCTTTGTGTCTTTAAACACCAATTCATTACTGAGGGGCTAGTAGTATTTCTTCAGTTAGATTGTTTATCCCTTAAGGCCCATCCACTACAAAGCCAAGATTACAAAATCTCACAGGATTTCCTTCCTGAGTAGAGGACCAGGTACAAAACATCAAAAGTACCTGAGGGGCCCAGGGAGGGAGGAGAGAAAAGGAAAGAGAGGAGAGGTGGCCACAGGGCCTTTATGCAGTTTCTCCAGGCCTAAAACATTCCTGTCTCTTCAGTTCCTCCTGTTCCTCTTCAGGCTTCAGGGCTTTGCTGCTACCTTGACTAGACTGGTGTGTTCTCAGCTCCTGACCAGAGACAGCTCTTTCGAGGACTTAAACATACATCTGTGACTGTGATTACAAGTCCCCACTAGCTCCTCAGCTCCTTGGGGTCAGGCCATTTGGGTCTGCCATCCTTATCTCTGGTGTCTGCAGCATGCTGGGTATTTTACTGAATGAGGAGCTGTGTGTTGCCTTGGAGAACGTCAGGGGAAGGGGTGGAGCAAAGAATACGGTGTAAGAAAGAGGAAGTGGGAACAGGTGATAAGTTTTGACTTGGGACTCTACCCTCAGGAACTTGTCTGGGGTAAGATAGGGTAGCACAGAGACCTCAACTTGAGAGCTATTCAGATAGTGCAGGCTTTATTTTTAAATCTATACCCATTTATCTATACTTTAGAGATGTATGACAGGAATACGTAGCAGACACCCGGCAGTCATGTCTCGCTTACATATGTACCCTTTTAAGTTCATAGGTCTAGCAGACATTTCCAAGCTTTCTTTGAAGATGAATAGGGACATGTGGCCTCCTCTTCCTCCTTCCCAGGGCTAGAGCTGGTTGTGACCCGGCTTTGGTCACTTCCAAGAGGCTCCCAGAGAGGGTTGGCAGAGCCCCAGGAGGGATCCGGACTAAGATGCCTGACAGCATCTTAGTAATGCACACTTTCGCTGGGCCTGCTGACGTGAGCGCTGCGTTTCCATTTGAGACTAGTTCCGGCAGCTGAGCCAATGTCTTAATTCCGGCCCCACATCTCCAGCCGCAGGAAATAAAAGAGCAGAAACCTCCTGGGGTAGCAACCCAGTGGTATGTGAGTGACCTAGTCACTGTACTCGAAGAATAAATGACAGCACTTTCTCCATCAGTGACCCTATTTCTAGCCCCACCCTCTTTTTGGTGAAATATCATATATATGCACATATATGTATATATGCATATACCTTCCCCCCCCCCCCCCCCCACTGCATACATGAGTGAAGGCCAGAGGGCCTTGGGTGTCCTGCTCTCCCACTCTGTCTTTCAGACAGTCTCTTTGACAGCCAGCAGGTCCCAGGGGTCCTGCTGTCTTTGTTCCACACAACTCCGGGCTTCCGGGGGCACTCATCACTCTGCTCAGCCTCTTATGTATGCGTTGGGGATCCGAAAGCAGGTTCTTCTGTTTATGCAGCAAGTGTGTTCACACTGAGTTGTCCTCTCAGCCCAGGTGGCTCTCACTTGCTAAACCAGGGACAGTTCAGACTTTCTCAGATTTGCTTTTTCCCCTCCATCACCCTCTCACTGCCTTATGTAAGTCAGGTGTCAAGAGTTCTAGACCTGGAGCCAGATGGCTCTGGGATAGAGATCCTACCATGCCACTTTCTGTCTGTCTTACTCACTGTTCTGTTGCTGTGACAAAACACCATGACCAAGGCAACTTATAGAAGAGGGCATTTAATAAAGGCTTATGGTTTCAGAGGGTGAGTCCATGACCATCAAGGTCGGGGTCGTGGTAGCAGGCAGGTAGAAAGAGACTAAAATGGTATTGGCTTCTGAAACCTCAAAGCCCACCCCAGAGACACACCTCCTCTAACAAGGCCACATCTCCTAATCCTTCCCAAACAGTTCCACCAACTGCGGAACAAGCATTCAAACATATATGAGCCTATGGGGGCTTAAATTGTTTGTTTTTTTAAATCTATGTGTTTGGGTGTTTTCCCTGTGTGTGTGCCCACAGAGGTGCCAGAAGAGGGTGTTGGATCCTCTTGGAATTAGGAGTTACAGATGGTGGTGAGCCACCAAGTGGGTGTTGGGAATTGAACCTGGGTCCCTGGGAAGAGTTGCCAGTGCTCTTAACCCCTGAGCCATCTCTCCAGCCCAGGCCTTTTTTTCTTTGTCTTTTCTTTTCTTTTTTTTTTTTTTTTGAGACAGGATTTCTCTATGTAGCTTTGCGCCTTTCCTGAAACTCACTCTGTAGACCAGGCTGGCCTCAAACTCACAGAGATCCGCCTGCCTCTGCCTTCCAAGTGCTGGGATTAAAGGCGTGTGCCACCACCGCCCGGCCCTGTTTTTATTTTTTATTAGGTAGTATTATTTCCTTCTTGGGCCTCTGAGGGAGTTGAAGATTAGTTAGTTATAGTTGAAGATTAGATAGTTATAGTTTTCTTTGTTAAGAATTTCAGAAAAGAAACTCACTAAAGAGGTGTAAGTGTATAAATTTGAAAGACATTATAAGATAGTTCTGTTAGTAATATAAGTTAGGATAGAAAGTGAATCAGGTACATTTTGGACTTACCAAAATAGGATAGATAATGGAATTATTTTCTCTGAATTTGTCAAATACAAATGAACTAGACATTGTTTAGGTATTTACTGCTTGTATATGTGGTATATAGTTATTGTACTTTTGTCTAGTTTTTCTTATATTAGTTATAACTTTTTTCCTTTTTTCTTTTTATTAAAATAGAAAAGGGGAAAAAAGAATTTGCACTGTATCAAGCTGATAATAGAAAAAATAAATAAAAATGAAAAAAAAAAAAACCAACAACAACAACAAAATAAGTCTCTACAAAGTGCCTCAGCGTGAAGGTGGTTTTCTGCAGTCATGGCATCCTCAATTGTTTTCATGACCAGAGGCTCCGTTAAGTCTGATGAGGCTTTGAAAACCCTCCAACTAGTTCTTTTGAAGCCAACCCTTGTCAGACACTACAGTTGAACGTGTACTATTCCAGTGTCTGGGAGGGACCGCCAGGCACCCTGCAGGGAGCTGGGGATGAAGAGGGCAAAACTCCTCCATCCTGAGGCCTGTGAGGACTGAAGCCAGAGTCTGAGGTTTGAGGTAGTTCTTTCCTCCTGGGGGGCCTTGCAAGACTTTAGCTTGCTGATCCTAATGCTTCTCCTAGTCTTGTGGCCACTACACAACCCTCCAAGCTGGCTGCATGATTTCCCGCATGCTGGTGGAGATGGACATCTATTTCTCATGGAGGGCTACTTCTCTGGCACAAAGGCTTTCTAGGTCAGTTTTAGGAATCTTGGTGTTATAAGCCTGATCTTGAGAGGTGAACCTGTTTCCCTCACACCAAAAATCCAGTTCCTCATGAGGCTCATGGTGAGATCCTTTATTCAGGCTACAAATGTACCCCGTGAGGTTCTTGGGGTATCCATCAGTGTCGCCCCTGAGGAACCCCTACGGCTCTTGCTAAGCCACCACTATGACAAAGTGAACAAACAAGCAGGGATGAACAACTATTTAATGGCTTTTATTTTAGATATTACTTAGTAATAATAGTAACAAAGCTGAATTTAATATGTGCTGACTAGGCTTTCTATACAAAATATTTACAAAACAACTCTGGTTTTCCTCGCCAAGAGCAGTTGCCAAGGAGAAGAAAAACCACAGCCACAGTCTTCAGGGCTCACAGCCTCTTCAGGCTACGAGTCCCCGAAACAGAAAACAATGGATGCAGCAGGTGCTGTCCCCACACTTTTGCTTTCACTTGAAGCATTTCTGCATTACAAGTGCAAAATGAGGATTGTACCTAATAAACACCTGGGTGGCCACGCCAACTCTGGATTGTGCTTCACTAGAGGACACCCACCCAGAGAGAACAAGAGTCACCCTCATCTATAGGGTCGTTATGATGGAAGTCAGAGGACTCCATGAATGTCATCTGGGATCTGAGTATAGGCGTGGCTAGCCCAATCTTCTCTGACGTGTGGGGTTTGACCATCCCGCCTGGTGAGCTGGTTTCAAACCCAAATCTTTCCATCCTAGGAACCTGCCCTCCTGGGTATAGTGGATGCTAAGAGGAAAGTCAGACCACAGCATCAGCCTTTGGGATGAAAAATAACTACAGTAGAATTATAGTAGATCAGCAAAGTATATTGATACTCTGAACTTATGTATGCCGTAAAACTATCACGAAGTATGTAACAAAACACATGAATCAAAAGTCTTTGTGGGATATACAATTTGAGAGTAAACACAATGCATTACTTCCTTAGCCGCAAGAGTCTCTCTTCTGGGCCATGGTGTGTCAGTGGACATTTATTTCAGGCCATCTTGACAAGGGCATTTCTTATCTCTTGCAAGTCCTGAAAAAAACCCCATTTAAACAAAAACAAACAAACAAAAAATCAAAAGATCATGATTCAAGGACTTCAAAGCCTAATGACACAGGTAAGGCCTCATTTTCCCGGAAGACAAAGTACTCTGTTTTGTCTCCTTCCAGTAGCTCGTTAAGAGAAGCCACGACGACGTCATGCTCCTGCAGCATTTCTGGGTAGCGGGCCACTGCTCGCTCGATCCTGGCCGAGCGCCTCACGGGAGTGATGAGCTTCATGTCTTGTACTTCTGGCACACCACATATTCTGAAGGAGACCAAAGGATGCGTTCAGAGCCTTCACAGCTACAGCAGCATAACTGACATCTCACTGTAAGCTGAGCGAGACAAGTCTGCAGTAGTTCTCAACCTACATTGACAGGCAAGTCTGCATCTATACCGCCCCCTGCTCCACCCTAAGAAGGAAACCTGGGCTTTCCCTGATGCCCAGGAAGTACTGGGTGGTGGCCACATACATGCTCCTGGATGATGTTAGCATTAGGATTTTATGAATGAAGGGTGAAAATGGTTTTGATTTGAAGTTAACTGCTTTACAATTGCTATTTGTTTGTCTCATAAACTTTTGAGGGTTTTGAGGAAACTGGCCTAATACCAAACTTGACTGCACTGGTGACTTCAAAGAGTCCTTCTAGTGTTGACTATATACATCACTCAAAATCTGTTAAGATACTGGACCAAACCATGTACTGAAGCTGGAACAACTGGGAATCTTCCTTGTAAACTTCCCAATGTATTCAGAGACCTTTGCATGCAAGACTGGTCTAAAATTCACAAAACTACTGGCTGCATTAGCTTATGTAGAACTAGAGGGCAGGTCTGCTAAAAAGTGCTTGTAACAATAATTCTGGAGCTAGTGGGAGGCGAGCTTCAGACAGCCTGACTGCTTTCATGCATCCATAAGCCAACCACAGTGGGGCAATGATGGCTAAGGGGTTAGTCTAGCTGTGCTTTCCGGGGAAAGGAAGGCTCAGAACCGCTGAGCTGGTGCTCCTGTGTGGAGTCCTTTCAGAATCACGAACAGACGAGAGATACTAAACTTACTTTTTGGAAACGACATTGATCCACTGCCATACTGCCTTACAGTGACAGTGCAGTTCTGCCTGGAACGTAACCTCCTAGGAAACAGAAGGCTCTAGTAGTCTCTTAACATACTCAGCTGCCCTCACTGTTCTCATAGTTAGTGCTCCCCATTCCTGTCTGGGACCGGCTGGCAGGACAAAGAACAGTGGAGAGATGGGGCTGGATGCAGGAGGGTGTGGCTCCACGCCAGCACCTGCCAGACTCTGCAGCACGGACTTCACTGCAGTTGTGTCTTCTTAGGGTGGAGCAGGGGGCAGTATAGATGCAGACTTGCCTGTCAATGCTTCTAACTTCTAGTATCCTCAGCCCCTTCCTCAGTGCCAAAGACCGTGATCTGGGCATCTTTGCCAATTGAAGATGGATCCTGGGTCTCCTGTCAGCACTGATCCTCTTCTCTGTTTCGATGCCCTGAGAGCTCTCCGGGACTCCTCACTGACCTAACCTCTTTGCAGAGGCATCTATCAACCACTGCTTCTCTGGCTGGGTGTGAAGGAAACCGGGAGTTCAACTAGAGTTAGTTCTGTGCTCAAGAGTCTGCTGGAGTTGGCTTACCTAGGGAGAGGGGCGATCTGCAGTTTGATCGTAGGGTTATCCCATTCTGCCGTGGTTATTAGTGGAGCTGCTGTAACCTGCTCTCCTTCTGTTAGAGAAGGACATGACTGCCCAGATTCCTCCTTCTTGGCCAGCTCGTCCACAGATGTGACATTAGTTTCAGCAGCTAACGAGTCAGAGGTGACTACTGTGTACACAAGGCCAGGAAGGGACGTAAGAGTTAAGCAATTTAATAATTAAACTAAAAAACAGTAAAACAAGAGGGCATCATATACAGTGACTTTCCCGTGATCCTCATGGAGTCTGTATGGCAAATGAAGAGCTAGGACTGCAACTGGCATTTATGTTCTTTTTTTTCTTGCCGTATTTTTAAAAAATAGTATTTTCTTATTCTTGGAAACTTTCATACATTTATAAAATGTATGTTGATTATATCCATCCACCGCTACTCTCCTCCAGTTCTTCCTACTGCCCCCTTTCCTGCTGAGCTCCACGGCAACGCCCTATGACATCAGGCCACCTTACTAAGCAGCCCTCCAGATACCTTTTGGGCATTTTACCAATTGAAGATGGACCCTTGATCCCTTTTAGCACTGGCCATACTCTGACTGCCTATTCACTCTCATGAGAGCAAGTATCTGAGTTACAGTCTCCTTGTGAGTCTCCCATCAAATAGTTCGACTCGGTTCCTCAAATTACTAGCTACTTAGCTGTTATTCCATAGGACTTCATGGTCCTTAGTTAAATCTCCTCCTCCTCTGTCTCCTTTTTTTAAAGGTCTTACTTTGTAGTCCAGGCTGGCCTTGAATCAAGGCAATCCTCAACCAGGATTACAGGCATAAGCCATCATGGCCACCTTAAATCTATTCTTAAAGGAAAACTATTTGCCATCTAGGATACTAAGAGCTCATTTTATTTTCTAAAGACAGGACACACTTTCCCTTCCCACTCCTATAAAAAGTATCTTGCACATTATTATATGTCACCGAGTTTGGCACCATTACTTCCAAGGACACATTCTTTAAGGTTCTGAATAGTGACCATGATGGCCAAGTAAGAGGAGAGACTCTTGAGAGATGACATGAGTTTAGGTGAGTGACGGTAACTTAGAGGTGACTAAACACACAACTTAAACCACGGCGTCTCTTCCTTTTGTCTCCGTCTCTTGGTAAACAGTCATTTGTGTTTTCCCACAGAGGACTCCAGGAAAGCAGGACACTAGTCCAGGCCGCTGTGGTGGACAAAACTTTTGTTCAGCATTGGGCATATATTGACTTGTAATCATAGAAATAAATCGGTAGATGATTACAGCTAAAAAGGGCCAGGCCACAAAGACCAAGAGGCGAGAGGTGTTTCAGGGCCTCATTCCACTGATCTCCAACATGCGCCACGATGATTTTCACTTGCACAGCTCAAGGGAACGAACTCAAATACAAAACTAACCATACCCTCCGTGCTTCTGCTTGGATCCTGCAGAATGTTCAGAACTTCCTGCAGTTCTTGCATTGGCTGGAGGCAGCAAAACAAACAACTGGTATTAAAAGCATTCATGGAAAAACTGAGCTAAGGACTTCTGCTTAGCATCAAATAAACCTTCTGCAATAAAAATGTTTTCTTTTTAAATTGCATATTCAGAGATAAACACACTTAAAATAGTTCAGTTTTAAAGATTCATGAGCAAAACAAAGAAATAGAAAATGTTGATTAAATTGCATACCCAATTTCATTAAGAGATGTGTTCAAAGCTGTTTATAATTTCTCTAAATCAAATTTTCTTTTCCCATTAATTTATATATCATTAAAGATGTGTTCCTATACAAAGATTCTGGCTTAGAGATATAAAGTTAACTATATAGATAGAAAACGCATCAAGTACTGCTGTTGTCAGTTTAATTCTTGTTTTCGTGACTGAAGGTGTGTGTGCATTTCAGAAAGCCTGAACCATAGGTTAACTCAAGGAAGAGTTTTACCCAGAGTCCCATGATGCAGTCTTTTTTTTTTTACTCTTTTCTGTATCTTTCCCTGGCCTCTTCTCTCTCTCCTTTCTTTAGTTATGTATCTTAAACAGCAGGACAAATCAACCAAGCAAAGGAAAACAAAAAACTCCAGGCACAGAAAACCATGTAAACCACATCACAGAGCATGCCGCAGAGTCAACTGCTGTTTTTCCCTGGGAATACTGCATTTTTTTCCTGACTTGGTACTCTGTATCAAATTAATAACACACACTAACACACACACACACACACACACACACACACACACACACACAGAGAGAGAGAGAGAGAGAGAGAGAGAGAGAGAGAGAGAGAGAGAGAGAGAGAGAATTGACCAAGCATGGTAACACAGTCCTTTAATCCTAGCACTCTGGACTCTGGAGGTAAAAGCAGGCAGATCTTTGAGTTCCAGTCCAGCCTGGTCTACATAGTGAGACCATATATTTGTTTCAATAAAACAAAACAAAAAAGCCCACTCCAACAAAAACAACAAACAAATAAAACCCAAACCGAAGAACAAAGCCAACCGAACGAGTGATGCTGTAAGCTTCTGAAGTGGGGAATATACATAGATACACTAATGAATCTGCATTATAAAAGACTTACATCAAGCATATTTATTATTAAATTTTTAAGACAAGGTATTTCTCTGTAGTCTAAGCTAAGCCAGACTATGTAGACCAGTCTAGTCTCAAACTCATGACAATTCTCCTGCCTCAGCCTCCCAAGTGTTGAGATTACAGGGTAAGCCCAGCTCCATGAAGCATATTTTGCATCTGTATAGACTTCTGTTAAAGACGGTAGACTAAAAACACATTTATTTCTAACTTCTCTTGAAATTCTACTGAAATGAAAATAAAGGATTAAAAAGAGGCACAGGAGAGAATAAACAGCAAGATTTTAGAAGCTGGAATGGTGGAGAGGAGAGCCAACTGTCTGAGAGAGCTTAATCTTGGGCTGGAGTGTGGCTGAGGAAAACCCTGCTGTGTATCCCAGAGCTTCCAAACTCAAGGGCAGGAGGTGAGGCCTCTGCTCACCAAGTCTGAGACCTCCAACTCTACCCTAGACTCCAGCCCCCTGCAGCCTGGTGCTTGTGCCCTACCAGCTTTACCCTAACAGAAAACTGGGACTTTTCTCACATTCCCAAGGGACATCATGTAAGACCCGGGTAGGTGACTAGTTGAAAACAGGATAAACAAAATCTCCAGGCTGTGGAGACCCCCAACACTGGCAGCACAGTTTCTAGCTCCCAGGAAGGAGGCTGGCAGAACCTCCCCAAGATAATCTGACAGACTGAAGAGAAAGACCTGAAGAAACTGATACCGAGGGTTCTCCAAACAGCCAGTGCAGCTGGCCAGCTTACCCTACTGGAAATCCCCATACATGTGGCCAGAGCTTGTGTGTGTGTGTGTGTGTGTGTGTGTGTGTGTGTGTGTGTGTGTGTGTGTGTATGCATGCATGTTCAGTGTGTATGTATGTGTGTGTGTGTACATGCATGTTCAGTGTGTACGTATGTGTCTGTGCGCACACGTGTGTGTAGAGTCTTTGTCATTCCTCAAGAACCACCCGCCATGCTTTCTGAGACAGCATCTTTCACTAGGATCTGGGAGTCATCAATTAGGCTAGGCTGGCCAGCTAGAAAGCTCCAGGGATCCACCTGCCTCTGCCTCACCAGTGCTGGGAGTATAAGTGTGTGCCACCATGACTGCTACTTTATATGAGTGCTAAGAATCAAACTCAGATCTTCATGCTTGTTCAGCAGGCACTTTATTGAATGAGCTACCTTCCCAGCCTCCATAGCTTTGAATACACGTTTCCAGTCTACCTGTGTGTGCACACATCCATCTATCCCAACTTCAGCCGCATCTGAATAAACCCTTCAATGAATGATGGAGAACAAAACAGCGGCAAGAGTGGGAAGAGCAACAGAGAAGAGGAGGCCGGCACTGCAGGAACAAGAGAAACGGCCCACTCAAGGAGTGTGGAGAGTGTCTGTCTGCCAGGGATGGAGAAGAGAGCCCAAGGACAGCTGGTGCAGACAGGAGCTGAGAGCTGCCTGTCCAACCTGGAATAAACTAGAGGGGTCTCTCAGAAAAATAAACCAGTAGATATCTGAAGTCTTGACATTATTTAGAAAATTCAAGAACATGACAATTAGTTATTTAAGACACACTCAGAAAACTAAGCATAGGCAAAACAAATAATTAATTCTAGGAAAAGTAGAAGATGTGTTTGAAAGGCAAAGCAATCACAGTGCATATTCCATAGCTCAGCACAGCCATGTATTTCTTTCTTTCTTTTCTAAATTATTTGTTTGTATTTTATGTGTATTGGTGTTTCGCCTGCATGTATGTCTATGTCTGATCTTGGAATTATACAGTTGTGAGCTGCCACATGGTTCCTGGGAACTGAACCCAGGTCCTCTAGAAGAGAAGTCAGTGCTCTTAACCGCTGAGCCATCTCTCCGGCCCCATCATGTATTTCTTACATAGGTCTAACAATATGGACACAAAGTGACAGAATTTCTGTACAGTGTTAGTGGAAGCATAGAGAACGGCAAAGGTCCACAAGGACAGACAGAGCTGTCGACATGTGTGTGAGGCAGTGGACACGGGGAAATCTGGGTAAAAGGAGGTTACAGCCAGGTCCTCATCTGTGAGGTCACAAATTATGGCCAAAAAGTGGAAACAGCAACATAAGCATGTTTTCTGAAACCACAGAGGTAAAAATGGAATCAGTTTGTTCTGGGAAGTAGGAAATATGAAGGGGGCGGGATGAGGAAAGACATAACTGGGTGAAACTGAGCAAACAGTGTAGATGTACAACTCCGTGAGCAGCCATGGCCGTGGGTACCACAGGATGGGAGGAAGGGAGGGAACGACATCTGAGCAAGAAGAGTTAGGAGGTGATTTGATACACTCTTCATTAAATAAACCTGCAAACGGAGGTTTCTGTTTGCTTCCAGAATTAGCAAGCTTCTTGATGTAAGGACTCTGG